TGTCTTTACCCTAAGGGGTGCAACAGTCTCATAGTCATCCAAACAGACATGCATTGCAAGATCTACAATAGAGTTCGAGTTTATCGCATTAGATAAAGCAGGTAAGGAAGTAGAGTGACTTCGTCACTTTCTAGAGGACATCCTAATATGGCCAAAACCTGTGCCAGCCATTTGCGTTCATTGCGACATTCAAACAGCAATAGCAAGAGCACAGAATAACATGTATAACGGTAAGTCTCGTCATATTCGACATAGACACAATACTGTTGGCAACTACTCTCAAATGGAATTATCTCCATTGAGTACATAAGGTCAAAAGATAATATCGTGGATCCGTTAACCAAAAGTTTGACTAGAGAGCAAGTGTTAAGATCATCGAGGGGAATGGGATTAAAGTCTACTAACTAAAGAGTCGTCTTAATGGCAACCCAACCTAGCTGACTAGAGATCCCAAGATCTAGGTTCAAAGGGACAACCGAATTATGTGTGACTCATCAATATCACTAAAGGAAATTTTTTACCCTTTCCTATGATGACATAGTGATGTCTGTAGCGTTAATCAGGTTAAGCTTTGCTTTTAATGATTTTCATATCTTGGAAATCCAAGTGGGGTATAACAGAATACTCTAATGAGAATCACCTATATGAGTGTGCACTGGGCCGGTTCTATGAGAATTGGGGAAAAAAAAAGGGCTAAATTCTCTAGAGCACTCAGGAAAACCAGGAATTGTCCAGGGCCAAAATGGGCACAACCGATAGAACCAGATTGTGTATGGAAATAAGACTGTGTGACAGACTGTTGTCTCAGTTTACACCAATGGGAAAATAGTTCAAGACATCATGTTCACTAATCAGCCAGTAAACTCGATAGTTTTTCACAATGGAAGGTTCAAAGTCAAAAGCTACCTATCATTTGCAGGATATTTTCAATTTTCTACTCTGTGTCTGCATGTTGTTGCATGTTCGCTTTCAATTTTATTCATGTGGGAGATTGTTAGAGAAAATGGTTTATCACCATTAATTTTTGGGAATTTTGAGCCATAATTTATGTAGGATCCACACCTCGGATTTGGTGGGTCCGAGTGGCAACGCGTTCCTTGCCGTGTGGTGAATAAGAATATATATTCGAGTGGTCAAACCATTTTCGCTAACACTATGTCCAAGAACAAATCCATTATTTCATACACATATATCTTATTAACTAATAAGGTTAAATATATTTATATCACGAATTAAAAATAAAATAATGTTAAAAATTTTAAACATTTATGTCATTGCTTATATATGCCGAAAGCCAAACTTTGTAATTAATCTATTTGTAGATTTATTTTTACTCTCTAAAAATAAAATGAAATAATATAAAAAAATACAAATATACGTACATATACATTAGTGGGTTGGGCAAGGATTGAGCATTCATTTGAAGCTTGCCCATAATTATAAATACGCTTTAAAAAAAATGCCCAGCCCTAAGTCTAAAATGAAATCTAAAGCTCAATAATTTTATGGGCTCGCATTTGGGCTTGTTTGTGTTGTCATAACTCACAAATTCTTCGAGCAACAGGGGGATTCTATTTACACTCAAAAATCATTAAGTACTCTTAATTTTTAAGTATACTTTGTTTAACTATTTAACATTTTATTGTACTCTCATTACACCCTATTATTTTTTTCAAATTACCCTCAAGGTATACCTAAATAATAAATAATAAACAAACTAAAAAAACTACATTATTTCAAAAAAAATTCAATACAGAAAATAATTCTCCAAAAAAAAAAAAAAAAAAAACTTATAAGCACATAAGCATTATAAATACAGAAAAAAAAAAATCAAACTTTTACATAAGCATTATACAACTTTTCAATACAGAAAAAAAAAAGCTTTTACATTATAAATTATCCACAAGAATACTTGTGAAAAAATAAAAATCAAACTTATAAGCACATAAGTATAGGCACTAACAAGAAAAAATAGTTCTCAAATAATGTACTATTTAAATGATAAAATAAGAACAATTTCAATAATATGTTATTGTTAATCTAACTACTGGGCCTTTTAATTTTTGTCCAAAAAAAAAAATTTTTTAATGGTGCTCTACAAAAATTGTGGAACCCTTTTATATGAATACTTACCTCCTTTTTTATGGATTACTTAAAAAAATTATTTTGATTATTAATCTCATTTATTATTTTATTTTGTTCAAACTTTCTTTTAGGGTTTGGGATTTTAAAATAATAAAAAACAATGATATTGATGATGATGGTGAGTTTTTGTAGGGTGGATTAGAGTTTTGGAGGGAGGAAGAAGAAGAATAAATAACTTTGATCTCTTGGAGAAAAAGATACAGAGATTCAAATAAGCAAAACTGATTAGGGTGTTCCATGAGAAAATATATATATATATATATATATGTATATATATATTATTTTAGGGTTTAATATGTGTTGTCCTTATTAGTAAATTCATATTAGGATATAATAAGAATTTAAATTTATGAATTTAAATTGGACATACTGAGACATATTTTGGATTCAAATAGAATCCCCCGAGCAACAGTACTGTTGTAGAGGTAAAAGTACATGAGTTTTGGGTATAGCTATTATGACAAGGGATGCAGCCTGGGTTAGGACCTACCCTCACTCTTATTTTCGTTGTTTATCCTAGAACTGGAAATAGGGTTATCTAAACCATCCAATCTGAACCGATCCGTATATAAATAGACAATTTCGTAGATATAATACGAGCGGATACGGTTTGGAATATGACATGATTGCGGGTTGAGGACAGGTTGCGGGTTTAACTCGCAGCCGCAAGAACCCGCCCCACTTAGACCTTTTTTTTTTATTTTTAAATTTAGACCATTATTATTTTATTATTGCATTTTGGATGAATGTAAAAGTTAATGAAGAATTAGTTTTAGGTAAGTTTAGGATTTTGAATGATCTTACTTCAAGGGTGTGTTTGATTGGGGGGATTAGAGGGGGGACTATTCACTATTCAGATCACTTATCCGAAGGAATGAGTAGTCCATCTTTTGTTTTTTTTTTAGTCCGCCGGATATGGAGTCCGGCCGGACTCCTTATTCCCCATATGGGGGATTATACTATCCTGGGGGGATGTGGTGTCATTTTGGGGGGATTGTTTACTATTGGGATTAGGTAATAAAATGACCATTTTGACCCTCTACTATTTAATTATGTATTATATTTAGTAAAATTTGTTGGAAATGGTTATAAATTCTGGGTAAAACCAGAATTTTTTCTTAAGTTCGGTCTATTTTTTAGGTGGGCCTCGAGTGTCGATTTACTCGGGTCAAAGTGGTAACATGTTCTATGCCGCGTTGTGATTCACGTGGTATATTTGGTTGCTCAAAACCATTACCGAGTGAATGGGAAATTGAAGCCAAAGTGTGCTCCATGGAAATGGAGTTTTGGTGGAAATTCCTTTATGGGGCTGTACCATCAAGTTATCATCAGTGTGTTAAGGCTAAATGGGGAAAGAAGACGGTGACAATTCAGGCTACAGAAAGGCCGTTCGAGATCCATGAAGCTCATTACTCTGATGCCATCTACTTCACCGAACTGGCTGTCGAAGAAGTCCCCACCACCTCTAAGCCTCAGGGGGTCAAAATTCCTCATTGGGAGGATATCAAAGATGACAAGGAGCCAAGGGCAAAATCAAGTAAATGGGCGATCTCTAGACCAGAAAGTCCGCCCATTCCTCGGAAGGTGATGAAAGTTCGAGAAGGGGGTAAGATGGTGTACTATTTATGAAGGTGCGGGGAGTTGGTTTCTTCAGTCACCGACTCCGAGTCAAAGGAAGAGCCTCCTGACAATGACATAGTGATAAAGCCTAAAGTGGCTCCGGAATGCATGCAAGATGGGCCGAAACCTCAGCCCGAACAACTTATTGAAATAGATCTGAGTGATGGACAAGATGCTCCAAGGCCGATATTCATAAGTTCGAGCCTTAGCCCAGAGAAGCGGGAACAATTGTTAAAGTTGATAAGCCGGTATTCAGATGTGTTTGCTTGGTCCTATAAGGAAATGCCTGGACTAGATCCTGACCTAGTCTCCCATTATCTTGATGTGTTTCCAAACTCCAAGCCAATTAAGCAAGCTGCTTGAAAATATCATCCGGATCTTGAAGAGAAGATTAAGGAGGAGATTGAAAAACTTCAACAAGCAGGTTTCATCCAGCCAATACAGTACCCCACGTGGTTGGCAAACATAGTGCCAGTAAAGAAGAAGAATGGTCAAATCACAGTATGTGTAGACTTTCGAGATTTCAACAAATCTTGCCCAAAGGATGAATTCCCACTACCTCACATCGATACCCTTGTGGATGCCACCTCGGGACACCAAATGTTCTCATTCATGGATGGATTCAGCGGATACAATCAGATTAAGATGGTTGAAGAGGACACAGAAAAGACCGCTTTTAGAACACCTCTCGGAAACTTCTTCTATACAGTCATGCCTTTCGGACTCAAGAATGCCGGAGCAACTTACCAAAGGGCTATGACTGCAATCTTTCATGACATGATCCATTATGAGGTGGAAGATTATGTTGATGATCTAGTGGTGAAATCCAGGCAAGAAGAGGACCATCTCTGATACCTTGAGAAAGTATTCAAGAGATGCCAGAAATTCAAAATGAGGATGAATCCTCTCAAATATGCTTCCGGGGTGACGGCTGGGAAGTTCCTCGGGTTTCTTGTACATAGGCATGGTATCGAAGCAGATGAAGACAAGGTCAAATCTATCAGAGCAATGCCTCCCCCGCATTCTCAGAAGGAGTTAAAGAAGTTCCTCAAGAAGGTGTCTTATATTCGGAGGTTTATCCCAGTACTTGCAGAGATCTCTGTCCTTTTCGGCTCATTGTTAAAAGGAGATGCCAAGTTCGAGTGGAACCAAGAGCACCAAAAGGCCTTCGAGAGAATCAAGGCGGCCTTGACCTCGCCTCAGACCATGATAGCCCCGCAGCCCGGGTACCTTTAATGTTATACCTAACCTCAATCCCCAAGTCCATAGGGGCATTATTGATCCAAGATGTAGACGGAGCAGAACGCCCGGTGTATTACATCAGCCGGAAGATTCGAGAAGCAGAAGTCCGATATACTCCGATAGAGAGACATTACTTAGCTTTGGTATTCACCGCCCAAAAGCTCAGACATTACTTCTTAGCACATCACATTCAGATTGTTACTAGAAGTGATCCAATCCGATACCTCCTCAGCAAGCCTGCTCTAACCGGGAAGGTGGCAAGATCCTTGTTAGCACTGGATAAATTCGAGATCACATGTGTAGCTCCCAAGGCAATCAAAAGTCAAGCCTTAGTTGATCTCCTTGCTCAATTTTCAAGTGGTGACTATGAACCAGTGAATGAAGAATTAAGAGGAGAGGTGCATGCAGCTATGGCTTCCGAGGAAAGCTTTTGGACATTGAGCTTTGACGGAACAGCAGCCGGAGGGAAAGGAGGAACCGGGATAGTCCTTATAAGCAAAAGTGGGGAAAAGTTATATTTGTCTTATAAACTGGATTTCCATTATTCGAATAATGAAGCCGAGTATGAGGCTCTTATTTTGGGCTTGATAGCAACTAAGAAACATAGTATTAAGAAGATTCGGATTCGGAGGGACTCAAAGCTAATAGTAAAGCAGGTTTCAGGACAGTTCGTCTTAAAGGAGCCTGCCTTGGCCACATATCAAACAACAGTCCAGAGGCTTCTTAACAAATTTTAGAAGGTCGAAATAGAGCATGTGCCTCGCTCCGACCACAAGTTTTCAGATGCCCTCGCAACATTAGGGGCAAGAGTTGATATTCCAGAGGAAGAGGCAACAATTATTATCAAGAAGAGAACAGAGCCTTCAATAATACCCGAAGACAAAGACCTTCCGGAGGACTGGAGAGGAGAAGTCCTCGAACAACTCAGAAGCAAAGTTGGAAAATTGACTATGGCCAAGCTTGTCCAATTCATAATTATTCAAGGTGAACTTTACTTCCGATGAGGTACCGGATTCCTAGCTCGGTGTGTTGGCCAACAAGAAGCAAGATTTTGACTACAACAGATCCATGAAAAGTCCTGCGGAGATGGGGATATTAGTCTGTACAGAAGGATCCAAAGGCAGGGCTATTATTGGCCCGAGATGGAGAAGGCCTCGAATCAACTACAGAGAGAATGCCCCAAGTGTCAGTCATACATCCGGGAGGATGAGAGTTGCTTTGAAATTGATACCCCTGACTGGAGACAAGTCTACATTGACTATCTTAGAGAGGGGACACTACCTGAGAGCCCGAGGGACATTGCACACCTCAAGAGGAGATCAAGGCGTTACTTTCTTAATCAGAACAAGCTTTACAGAAGAAGCATTGAGGGCACCCCCCTGTCCAAGGAGGAGTCAGATCTAGTCCTCGAAAGAGCCCACGAAATTGAGCATCAAGGAGGGGCTCGGCTGTTCGAACAACTTATACACCTTGGGTATTACTGGCCGACCATGGAGTCAGATGCGTCCCATCACGTGAAGAGGTGCCAGACTTGTCAGAAACACAGAAATTTGATCCATGCTCCAGCCGTAGACCTGCATAGCATCCGAACGCCATAGCCGTTCCATACCTGGGCTTTTGATCTGATAGGGCCCATTTCCACACCTTCTAAGGGGTACAAGTGGATTCTCACAGCTACAGAATTAAACACAAAGTGGGTTGAAGCAATCCCTCTAAAGAAAGCTACAGGTCCTGCAGTTGCGAACTTCATCAAGGAAAATATCATTTGCTGGTTTGGAGTACCAAACACCATCCTCTTAGACAATGACACTCCCTTCATAAGCAAATATCTGAAGAGACTCACCAAGTGAAGCATCACAAATCCACACCTTACTATCCAAAAGGGAACGGGCAAGCGGAGGCCACAAACAAGACACTGATAAGGATTCTGAGTAAGATGATGGATGAGTTTGGGGGAACTTGGTCTGAACAGTTGATAGTAGCCCTATGGGCGTATCGCACTTCAAAGAGAAAGCCAACTCAAGCAACTCCTTACTCCCTTGTGTATGGATCCGAGGCAGTGTTACCTATAGAGTTGGAAACACCATCTGCTCGAATGGCTCTCGCCTCGGGGATGGTACTTGAGCCTCGAACCACTAGACTGGAAGCATTAGAGGAAAAGCATGACAGAGCAGCAAAGGTCATGGAAAGGTATCATGAGTCCGTCGCTCGAGCCTATAACCAGATTGTGGTACCAAGAAAGTTTGAAGAAGGTGATCTAGTATGGAAGATTGTAAACCCAATCATGCGAGGACAACCCTTGCCCAAGTTTTCTCCAAAATGGGAAGGGCCCTGCAGGGTGGTTTAGGCGAGCTCAAGCGGGTACTACAAGCTTGTAAGGGTGGAAGATGGCTTCTGAACTAGGCCGCTCAATGCAAAGTTTATCAAGTGTTACTACCCGTAGTTAGACTCATCTATGTTAAATTCATTTTCATTTTCTTACTTCGTCTAAAAAGTTGTATTTCCCATACATTATGAAGAAGCTGGTTTTCTTTATGGAGTATGTTTATCCCATCACTTGTAGTGAATATATTATACTTCTGTCAAGACAGTTGAAAAATTAATGAGAATATTTTAGCTTTTGTAAACTTGTGCATATGATTGTTCTTTCCATTGCATCATTCGAAATAAATATTTTATCAAGTAGAATGAGAAAACAATGCGAAAATATCCAAACAGCAAAGATTTTGTCATTTCATTGCATTGTCCTAGATAAAACATTTTTTATCGAAAGGGGCAAGAAAGTAATACAAAAAAAAAAGAAGAAAACTCAATCTCTCCTAAAAACACGCTCGAAGAAGCTGCCCGTCACATCTACATCCGGATCCAGAGGGCAAACAGCAGAATGTGCCTCTAAAGTCTCCAAGGCCCGAGCATAGCCTGACTCAAGCTCACGAAGAGTTGCCTTTGTCTCATCTATAAAGGTCCGATAAGAGGCAAGCACAGACAAAATTTCCTCCCAATGACTGGCGTGCAAAGCTACATCCAGGCGCTTCCGAAGCCATGATAAATCCACTTGGTGACGCTCCATATCAGAGATCCCCTGATACGCTGTCTCGACTACTTTCCCATTAAGGTCGCACAGTCGTTGCCTGTCCAAGCTATATAAGATAGTGGCAAAAAACTCGAGAAGAGCAGTCTGAATGAGTGGGCATTGGCAAGCAAATGAAGCAAAAGTCTCCAGGTAACTCGAATGCACAAGCTGTAGAACTGAAGCAAACTCAGGAGCTACCCAATAATGGAGAAATGATACTTTTCCAGAAGCCGAAGGAGGAATTGGGGCCGGAAAGCTGCTAGTCTCAAGAATATCCCCAATGTCTATCGGGTTAGATGAACCACCCGAAGGGGTAACTTCCGGCAGAGGTCCCGAACCTGAGAATGCAGAGCGATAAGGGGAAAGACCAAAAGCATCACTATCAAAGTGGAAGTCACTAAGATTCAAATCCAAAATATTCGAAGGCACTTGCGATGAAGAACCTCTAGCAGTCGTCTCAAAGGCAGGTGTCCCCCCTTGAGAAGAAGAACCATGAGGAGTCATAAAGAGAGTCGAAGCAGAGTCCGAGGCAGGTGAAGGCAGGACCCCAGTAACAGCTAATACTGAAGAAAAGATAAGAAAGTCTTATTAGGGGTAGGAACCAGTAAAGCCATTTGAGTAAAGATTTCTCGTAGATAGAAATACATGACAAACTTCAGAAAGAAAGATTACTAGAGGGAGAATCATCATGCAAAGCCGGAGCAACTGAAGGACTCCTAGCATCAACAAAGTCACTGGGCCGTACAGGGAGCACCTGATCGATCTCAATGTCTGATGAAGCCTGAATAGTAGTAGTCATCCCTGAAGAAGGAAGGAAGGCCGGAGGATGAGAATCACCGTAAGTGCCAGAGCGAGTCTCAGAGATTTCTAGCACATCCACCTCCACACCATTCCCAGAGGCGCACCTCATCTCTACATTGCTTCTAGAAGCATGGCCTACAGCGTCAATTTCTGTGGTATCAGTCCCTTTAGCAATCTCAACATCAGAATGATGAGCCCTGATAACCTCGCCACCAAGATAGCGCTCCTCCTCAGTTACGGTAGGACAGTGACGACGCATGTGTGGGATAAGGTCACAAAAATGATCGGAGGACTCAGCCTCATCATCATCGTCATCTACAACTGCCATACGAGGGGTGCGCATCTTCACAAGTCTTGCAGACAAAGGGAGGGTGTCGTCTAAGTCTGAATCCGGCCTGGTGGAGGCAGCATGGCCAGCAGCTACGGTATTGAGAATGTCAGCAACCGTAGGGTCCTACACAACAGGGGAAAACAAAGTGTTCATTTAAGAAGGTCTAGTTGCAAGAAGGAAAGTAACTTCAAATCAAAAAATTTTGGGTACCTGATGGACTTTTTTGGAAAGGTGAGGAGTGGAAGGACTGGCATTAGAAGCCCTCTTGTGAGCCATCTTCTTAAGGCTGGTCGTCCGAAGACCAGAGGCCTTATTCAAAGGGACTGGCTCTGGAGAAGTAATTGTCAAACTAAAAGCAGACGCCCGAACCGGAGGGTCAGTTGGAGTAGATGAAATAAAGAAACTCTCGTACATGTGATCAGATTTTCGGTTCTCAAGCAGCCGAAGAGAAGAGTCCTTCTTATAGATCGGCGGAGGCAAACATATGGTCGGTCTGCTCTAGACAAATTCAATAAATGCATCGATAGTCTTTCGCCAATATCGCCTGAAAGAGGGGGTGAAACCCTCTACTCGGCTCAAGCCTGGCATCATCAAAGAGCCGGATATAGGAAGCATGGTGTGTACAAGTCCGTGACTGAAGCGCCCGTAGCTCTCCGAAAATGATAATAAAGGAGGTGCTGGCCCCGGGGCACATTGGTCAAACCCGAATTGTCATGCTACACGGTCAGGCCTATAGACAGCACTATCAATGCCCTTCTCATGCCATATCGGTAATAAATTCGGACGAATCATTATCAGCACATCAACAAGGCATGCAGAGATACCCTTCGACAAAGGAAAGGACACCGAGCGAGAGGAACCATGATAGATGAGTGGTGTTGCCACACCCACCGGTGGACATACATACGGCCGTGCCACAAAGCGCCGGGGATCATCCACCAGAGTATTCAAGGATAAGGTGGAAATGGTACGTGACCAACGTGTAATCAACGGCTGGCAAGACTTCGCTTTCTCAAATGTCCGAGACCCATCAGTATCGAGCACGGGAATACCATCTTTACCTACTATCTCTCGAAGAACCTCTGCCTCGAATACAGTCGAAGTAGAGGCAAACTTCGGGAACCTCTCAAAGAAGAAACAAAGCAGGAACTGTGTCACACCCCAAATCAAGGCATGACCGGCCGTGGCCCACAGGGACTTAGCCCAAGGCGCACGTAAGCCTAAACATGAACCTAAAACCATAAAGAATAAATGTGATGATAGCCCAGAAATAAATAACTCAACACTCAATCCAGTGACATACCACAAGTGAAAAACAAGTCATAACCAACTTCCTAAAAACATATATATACTAAATGGAACACAAACCGCCCACAAAATAAAATAATTCTAAATAAAACCCAACCACAATGTATGCACAAAACTCGGCAAAGCAACCTAAAACAAATTAAATAAATGCCCTAGATGTCCATGCAATTGAGTCTCCGCTACGCCATGAGTCCACTCTAAATCCTGCTAACACCTAGAAATGGTAAACAACTAAGTCAGCTGATAGCTCAGTGAGTAGCAACATGGATAGTAAATACAGTTTTGAAAACATGGTTCAAGTCCAAAATAAGATATATATCACAGAAACTAGATTGGCATACAGTTTGGTAAATACAATCTGTTTCAAAAAGAAGGTTCCACAGTTCAACGCTTAAAATACTCATGGCTCGCAAGAACATGATAAACGACATTTTCCACTTAAAACAGATTATAACATGAACACCAATAGTTTTCTGGGTACCAAGAAAAAC